TTATTTCAAAGTTGGAAAATGGTTTTATTTTCTACGTTGATTCAACGTTGTATTTAAGTTTGCGCAACGTTGTATTTACGTTGATTCAACGTTGAACTTTAATTGGCAAAACGTTGTATTCAATATTATTCGGAATTAAATTTTCATTAAATTCTAATTTCTTTATATATATATATATATATATATATATATATATATATATAAATATATATAAATATATATATATATATATATAATATATTTATAATATACAATATATATATATATAATATAATATTATATATATACATATATATATATATATATATATATATATATATATATATATATATATATATATATATATAATATATTTATAATATACAATATATATATATAATATAATATATATATATATACATATATATATATATATATATATATATATATATATATATATATATATATATATATATATATACATATATATATATATATATATATATATATATATATATATATATTATATATATATATATATATATATATATATATATATATATATATATATATATATATATATATATATATATATATATATATATACTAATGGTTAAAACTTTGCAGCATATCATAGTTCATTTTTTATTGTTTTAATAAAGATCATTTCAGTGAACTTTGTCGTTTTTTTATCCAGTGAAACTTGTTTTTTTTTAATTGTCGGTTACAAGCTCCCGAGACGACTTGAAATTGCTTTGATATTTGCGGCTCGATGAACTTCCATCTGTTTTATACTTCCATGATTAGATCAACGTTGGGTTTAGTTTGCAAAAACAATGTATATACATACATTGGATCAATATTGATTGATATATATTGAATCAACGTCGAAATATATACATTGGATAAACGTTGGGTTTAGATCGTAAAAATAATCAACTTTCTGCGATGTTTTTACATTTGTCGAAAAAACGTTGATTTATATACATTGAATCAATGTCGAGATTTCTACATTGGATCAACGTTGAGTTTAGATCGTAAAAACAATCGAATTTTTTCGATGTTTTTACATACATTGGACCAATGTAAATTTGGCAGATATTTTAGTTCCGTCGGTAATAATTTTATCATTAACCAAATGATATTGGATCAACGTTGGTTTTGAATTGGAAAAAAGAGCCAACGTTCGCGATGATTTTACATACGTTGGCCCAATGTAAGTGTGCTGGCTAGGAAGTGTATAACAAATAGTATCTAAAAAGTCTACATTTTTAGCTTCAAAAACACGAATTAATAAAAAAACGTGCTGCTCATCTTCAGTAAAAGATGTTTTATTTGCAGCTGTAGAAAAAAAAATACTTATCAGTTCTATTCTTAAACGCATTCACTGACGGAGCCATTTTGCATGCTTTCGGCAAGATATTCCAATACAATTTGTGTAGAAATTATGACAAGCACTATTATATGCGAGGTCACGCATTAGGATGTTGAATGGTGATCTGGGAAATTAACAAAAAATAAGCGTAAATTATAGAACCGTAATTTTATTTTGCATTTAAAAAACAATTTTTATGTTAAATAAAAATTGTTAAAATTCATAATAGGGGAAAGCGGGGCAACATGGCGAACTTTTTGAAAGCCCTGAGTTATTGCAAAACTATCAGCCGTGAATCAATTATACTTTCTCAGTATGTTTATGTTATTAAAATCCTTCATTGCCTGCATGAATTTTCAGTTTGCAAATATAACAATTTGAAATAAATATTAAAATAAAAAGTTCATAAATTTGTCATATGGTCACGTGACCGGGGCAAGATGACTTATTATGCAATTTTTACCTCCAATTTTATAAAATTTTAAAAACTACCAATAACTATAACTAAAGTAACACAAAATAAACACAAATCGCAAAAAACTACTTCTAAAGAAGTTAAACTTGAAGGACACCATCCATTATGAGGAACCGAAAGTGAGGAATTTTTTTTTAAGCGCATAAAGTAAACTTATGCGTATAAAATTACATTGATAATATTTCAAAAAACCAATTGGTGTTTTAAAATACAAGATGCAAATACAGTTTTGTTTTCAATCAATTTTAAGATTTTTAATTGAGTTGTTTATGAAAACACATCTTGCCCCATTCGCCATTTTGCCCCGCTTTACCCTATATATTTATGTTAAAAAAAATAATTTTGAATATATTTGTGTGCATTCTATATACTCCACTTTATGGAGGGAGGTGCTAAAATCTACAACTTTGGAAAAAAAATATATTCTTTACTTCAATTAGTTAAACATTCATCCTCTTTAAAAATTTTGTTGTTGTTGTTATTGTTATTATTTTTTTTTTTTTAAAGGTGCTCCCAGAAGACTTTATGGTTTTATAACAGAGAAGACTTTATGGTTTTATAACACAGAACCTCGGAAGAGGATTTAACTAGGAAGTTCACGGCTCTTTCTTTACCAATATCACTTATTGGGCTAGAGTCAGCGTTAAACCTCGGACCTCTTGGTTCTAAGCCAGACTTCTAACCATTACACAACGACTGCTCAATTAACCCCCTTCCTCTTTAAGGTGGGTTAATTGTTATCGAGGGTGGATATTGGACTCTAAACTTAATATTTAGCAAATAAGTTTTTTTGATTTTTTAAAACGGTGAATTTCAAAAAAAAAAAAACTAGTATTCGATAAAGTTTTTTCATTGCTTTTTCATATTCATTGCTTATAATAAAAATCAAAATTGTGCATTATATATTTATATAATACTTATATAATAATCTTAATTCGAAATAAATTATTTTTTAAAAAGTTTTATTATTAATCTCAAAATAAATAAATTTTATATATCTAAATGATTGCTAATAACGTTGGCAACGAGCGTCCCTAAATTTACTATTTATTAAGTATGCGTTATATATATATATATATATATATATATATATATATATATATATATATATATATATATATATATATATATATATATATATATATATATATATATATATATATATATATATATATATATATAGTCAAACCCAACTTTTCCCCAAACATGGTGCAAAATGGTGTATTTTTGTACTTTTTTTTAAAGTTACATAGAATGTAATTTTTTTAATGAATTAAAAAAATTATATTCTATGGTGTTCTTACTTTTTTACAATATTTAAAATGTTGTATTCTTTTATTTTTTAAATAAATTTGTATTGATTTTGATATTTTTTGTTCCTTTAGAAGGGCTTTTTCCTTGACTACCCCATTTTACTCCAGTTTTAACTCTAAGTATTTATGAACTAAATGTTATTTTTTTTTCAATCCCATTCGGGTAGACTACAAACTGGCTATTTTTAACTTATAGTTGGTTTTTTAAAGATGACGGCTAGTCGGCAAGTTTAAATCGGGAGATTTTTAGGTCTTTTTTTTTTTAAAGCAATAGACAGTTTTCAAGTATTCCTTTCAATTTTGCAACAAAAAAAACCAAAAAACTTATAGCCGTCAAATTATACAATAAATCTATTCATTTCCAAAAGGTGCTCCACTGAAATTAAACACTAAAGATTGAGGACGACATTAGGGTAGATCAGTAATAATAAAGGAAGGTATGATGTAATAAAGTAAGGTATGATGTCAGGGGCGGATCCAGCATTTTTTGGTGTTTGAGATAGCTATCTTCCAGACATGGAGCAAACTCCAAACATTTATATGTTTATACTTATATCAAATAAGGATGGTTTGCAAAAAATTGCGATGATTGGAGCCTGGGAACAAAAAAGCCCCAAAATTTGAGACGTACCTGCCCCAAACGTGAGAGCAACAAGTTGATAAAATATTTTTTGTACTATTCTCAACAAGACTTACATTTATCCATAAATTTTAAATTTCATTGTAAAATATTTCAGCGTTTAAAAATTATGACCATGTAAAGTTTGAATCCCCCTCAATTCGAGGGGGTTACAATTTTTATATGGTCATAATTTTTGAGCGCTAAAATATTTTACAATGGAATTTAAAATTTATAGATAAATATAAGTCTTGTTGAGAATAGTACAAAAAATATTTTATCAACTTGTTGCTCTCACGTTTGGGGCAGGTACATCTCAAATTTTGGGGCTTTTTTGTTCTTAGGTTCCAATCATCGCAATTTTTTGCAAACCATCCTTATTTGACATGTGTATAAACATATAAATGTTTGGAGTTTGCTCCATGTCTGGAAGATAGCTATCTCAAACACCAAAAAATGCTGGATTCGCCCCTGGATGTAATAAAGTAAGGTATGATATAATAAAGTAAGATATGATGTAATTAACCCGTCTAAGAGTTCTAGTTAATTGAAAAATTATATCATTTTTGAAAAAGTAATGATTATTACATAAGATCAATTTTCGTAAAATTATCTGAGGCATACCTGGTCTCTTCTACATTACACATGGGTTTAAACATTTTTTACACATTTAATGTATTACAATCACACATTCTTTACACTATAGGTAAGTTTCATACTATCATAATAGTATATAAAAAAGCTTTGCGAAAAAGATTTGTGAGATATTTAAAGAGATGGAGAACACAATTTTCTACACCAAAAAAACACGAATAGTATATAAACTGTTGTTTAATATATTCAATAATTAATGTATTCAACTGAAAAAGATGTTTAAAAACGCGGAGTTAATCCCTGTATTTAAATTACTAAAGACTACAACAATAAGAAATAAGCTTTAAAAACAACCCCTAACCAAAAGTCTACAAATTTGAATGTTTACGTGGAAAGTAATGTTGGCAAAACAAACAAAAGTTTTCCGCGCGCATCAGCTTAAACAGAGCATTCAAAAAAATGTCGTAGCGTCTTTGGGCAGAGTAAAAACAATATTTATAAGGTCGAATTACTTTAGAAGGGAGATGAGAGAATTATTAAGGATTCAATATAACCAGTGTTCTTCAAAATAATGCAACTTGAATGAAAATGACGGTGATTACGCGACATTACGAATAACTCAAAAATAATATAAAATTAGCTAAATTAAATAAAAAATAAAGTTTCTCAAATAATGAATTCGTAATAATTACAAGTTATAGTACGGTGTTATACGTGGAACAAACTGTTGCAACTATTATCAAGAAATAACTAATAAGATATAAATATTTATTGAAAAATAAAAGTGTAACATTTTTACAAAATATAAAAAATATTTTCTTCATATTAAAAAAATTTAATTACCGACATTTAAGCCTAAAATTAAACTATAAATTTTATAGAAATATAATAACTTAAGCTGTGACAAAAAGTTTTATAATCTAAAATCAAAAACTTAAATATTTAGAAAATCAGTTTAGCAAATTAAAGGTCAAAAAAAAGGAACTTCGTTGATTAAAAAAAGTGTTTGTGAACCAGCAGATATTGGAATGTTATGTTCGAAATGAAATTTAATCAGCTCAGAAACAGTATTGAAAGTATGATCGCGTGTTCGTACCTTTATAAAAAAACAAAATATTGAAACTAAGATATTCTTAAATTTTATTTAAAAATACATATCATATATTATATTACATAATATATTTTATATATTCAGTGGCGTAGGAAGGTCGCGAAAATTAGGAGGGGGGGAGAGGGGGGGGGACTGAAAACATATATTAAAAAGGAAAAAGTTCCTCAATTTTGTGTGATACAGCAAATTAGATGAAAATGATCTATTTATTCAATTATTTATCACACGCAACGTGATTAACACACACAGGGGTGGCGAAGCATTTTTTGGTCTTTGAGATATCCAACTTCCAGACATGGAACCAACTCCAAAAATTTATATGTTCATACTTATGTCAATTAAGTATGCTTTGCAAAAAATTGCGATGATTGGAGCCTGGGAACAAAGAAAAGCCCCAATATATATATATATATATATATATATATATATATATATATATATATATATATATATATGTATATATATATTAGGGTGGCCCTTTAAACAACTTTTTTGAGAAAAACCTTCTCTCACCCCTTAAATGTGTTCTATCTAATACAAAAACACTAGGTTTAAAATTTTTTCGAATAAAAAATATTTTAAGGGGTCCTTCAAGACCCTCGAATATTTAATGGGTCCCTAATATTTGCAAAAAAAAAGTTTTTCAAAAATATGTCAACCTGGTACATACGTGAAGTGAAATTATATAAAAATTTCAAAAATTATACTCATTTTAAAAAAATTTAAACTTATTTATTAAAATTATCATAAAAAAACATAAAAAGTGCATTTTTTTCATTTTTTGTTAAAAAAACGTAATTTTTTAAGTAATGAAACCAAAAATAACAACTTTTTTCAAAATGAATATTATTTTTGAAATTTTTATATAATTTTACTTCATTTGAGTACCAGGTTGACATATTTTTAAAAAACTTTTTTTTTTTAAGGGACCATTAAATATTCGAGGGTCTCGAGGGACCCCTTAAAATATTTTTTATTCAAAAAAATTTTAAACCTAGTGTTTTTTTATTATATATATATATATATATATATATATATATATATATATATATATATATATATATATATATATATATATATATATATATATATATATATATATACAAATATAATCTTACCTTTCCTTCTGGATCTACTAACAGAATATTCATTAGTTTACCGTCACGCATGCCTGTTAAAATATATTGACCTTGTTTTGTTGCGCTTTCTCTTACTAGAAACTGTCCATTTTTCTTAATCAAATTTTTGGCACTATCTCGTGAAATTAAACCGTGAAACCATCTTTCCTGGTTAAGATTCTTGGAAACTGTATTATCGGAAATTAAACAAGTCTCTGTAAAGCCTCCTTCCACCTTCCCAGAGTTCATATTATTGTGTTTAAAAGCTCTAAAGTTACCTTTAAAAATAAATTAAAAGCTGTGAAGGTACCTCCAAATATTAAAACACCAACTATAGAAAAATTTTGAAAATTTAAAAAAGAATATTTTAAACAAAAAAAATGTGAAAGTCTAAAAAGAAACATAAAATAAAAAGTTAAATATAATTACTTCATATTGTTTCTTTAGTTTGAGGAATTGGTTTGGATAAAAAAAAGAACAACATAATTTGACATTTTATTCAAACAAACCCATGATTATAATTATTTTGGTAATAAAATTGTAATAAATATATTTTAACACTATTAATATTAGTATTGTGGAAAAAAGTTTTCACAAATATATATATATATATATATATATATATACATTTAAATATATATATATATATATATATATATATATATAGATATATATATATATATATATATATATATAGTGAAAACTAAATAATTATTAAGATATATTTCAATTACATAACTAAAAGTTTCACGCAATAGCGATCATCAGATGTAACAACAATAAAAAGTAACGACAAAAATTATATACAAAAAATGCTATGGAGTGTCCGCTTTGATGACATTAAAGTTTTTTATTAGAAATTTTTTTTCATGGCGGCATTTTGACACAAGCTCGGTTCTTTTGTTAAGCAAATTCAATGGCGACGTAATAATGTGGTAATATTAAAAGGAACTATGGTCTTAATACTACCGGTCTATATAGAGATGATGGTCTTTGCTGCTTCTATAATATCAGTGGTCCTCAATCGGAAAAAATAAAGAAAAATCTAATAAAAATTTTTAAAGACAATTTTAATCTTAACATCACTATCAAACCAAATTTAAAAACCGTAAATTTTCTTGATATCACATTCAACCTTTCTGAGAACTCTTTTAAACCTTATAGAAAACCAGGAGATAATCCTTTATATATTAACATCAATTCAAACCACCCACCAAGCATTATTAAATCGATACCAAAAATGATCTCTAACCGCATCAGTAACATATCTTCAAGCAAAGAAGCTTTTGATAGAGCCGCACCATTTTATAATAATGCCCTCAATTCTTGTGGATTCAAAGATAAGATCAATTTCACTCTAAATATCCAGAAATATAATAAAAAATCTCGAAAAAGAAACATTATCTGGTTTAACCCACCTTATTCACTCAACGTCAGAACAAACGTAGCCAAAACATTTTTGAGTACAATTGATAAATGTTTCCCTAAAGGCCACAAATTTCACAAACTTTTTAATCGAAACAACTTAAAGGTTAGTTATAGCTGCCTTCCAAATATCAAGAGTATTGTTACTTCTCATAATAAAAAGATATTATTTCATTCTCATGAAAATGCCAATCAATTATGCAATTGTCGGCAAACCACCTTATGCCCACTCAATGGAAAATGCCTTACAAAAAATCTTATTTATATTTGCAACGCAAAAACTCACTAAGAGGAAGAAGGATATTATTACGTTGGGCTTACTGAGAAAACTTTCAAAGACAGGTGGTACAAACATAAAAACTCCTTTGTTTATGAAAGTAAGGCCAACTCCACTGAACTTTCGAAATTTGTGTGGGAATGCAAAAATAAAGGTATAGAACCTATTTTAAAATGGAATATCCTCGATCAAGCGGAGCCATTCAAACCTGGTGGTAAATTTTGCAATTTATGCTTGACAGAAAAATACCACATTATTACGTTGCCATTGAATTTGCTTAACAAAAGAACCGAGCTTGCGTCAAAATGTCGCCATTAATGTCATCAAAGCGGACACTCCATAGCATTTTTTGTATATAATTTTTGTCGTTACTTTTTATTGTTGTTACATCTGATGATCGCTATTGCGTGAAACTTTTAGTTATGTAATTGAAATATATCTTAATAATTATTTAGTTTTCACTATATTATTTGCTCTACTAATTATATAAAACGCTGTATTGAGCACTCTTACTGGAATTTTTATTATTTTATTGGAACTATTAACATAATTCCTACAATATATATATATATATATATATATATATATATATATATATATATATATATATATATATATATATATATATATATATATATATATATATATATATATATATATATATATATATATATATATATATATATATATATATATATATATATATGGACAAGAAGACATGGAAAAAAATGGAACCAATCCATGAACATGGTGTCAACAGGGGATGTTCAATTTAGATTTTATAATTAATTTTTCCCCAGGGTACAAGTACTTGAATGTATTCCTGTGTTGCTTTTTTTTTTTTCTCTACATTTTCACTTCCAACAAGACTGCAAGCAACCACTATGTTTAACAGACGACTTAAAAGATTGCAAATTATATGAATCAGGAAAACAAAATGAAGGAAGTGAATTCCAAAGGACTGATGTTTGAGGAAAAAAACTAGACAAATAAGAATTTTTGGAGCACTTAGGAAGAGTAAAAAGATGAGACTTTATAGTAAAAAGATAACACACAGTAAAAAGATGAGTCACAGTAAAAAGATGAGACTTTATTAAAAAACGAGTAACATGAGAATGAATTTTAATAGATTTATAGAAAAGAGAAATAGAGCCAACATTATGATGATGTGATAATGGTTAGCGGTTGGCTGAAAGAGCTGGTCCAATTATGATTACAATGCATTTTTGCACCTTGTCTAAAAAAGAGAGGGCATCATTTGAAGAACTGCTCCAGATATGGCAACAGTATTCCATACAAGGACGGATTTGAGATTTATTGAGATAAAGAATAGAAACCAGAGTAAGAAAGTGGAGAGCATGATAAAAATATGCAACTTTAGCAGATGTTAATTTTGTAATAAACTTGATATATGGTTTTAAAGAAAAATCAGAAGTTAGAGTTAATCGAAGTAAGTCGAAGGGTACATGACTTATCAAGTAATTTATCACTCATAAATATAGGAAGATCTAAATTATTGCAATAATGATTTGCTGAAAAAATTGAATTTTCTCTGAGTTGAAGTTCACCCGCCACTAAGAGCTCCATGCTGTAGAAGTGAGAACCTTTTCAAGCTCAAATACCCCCTTCAAACAATTAGAAAGTGTTGGCTTCTTATCAAGAGAAGAATAAATGGGAGTATCATCAGTGAACAATTCCACAATAAATGTGAGAATTTCTGGGAGATTGTTAATGTAAATTATAAAAAGTAAAGGGTCAAAGATAGAACCTTGAGGAACACCTGAAGTTACAGAAAATAGGGATAACAGATTCTGATAAGCACTAGTTAAATAGTTTTGAAAGTATAGGCAACAGCTCTGGAGAACACTTATGCAATAATATAACAAGTACGTTGTCCAGAGCACAAGTTGTAGAAGAGTCTAAGCAGGAAATCACGTTAGATACAGAAGCTGGAGTGATACGAAGGTCAGGCAATGGATGAACCTGTTTGTTGGCTATATCAGTTAGAACACGACTAGTGGAATTAGGAGATGAAATTGATGAGAAGTTCTTAGCAAACAATCTGAACTATACAAGATAGGTGGAATAACAGATTTACCCTAGTTATAGATACTACTAAAGATTCTACTTGTTAAAGATACTATTAAAGTCACGAGAGCCTAATTTTTGAGATGAAATATCACATAGAAAATTAAGGAAAGAGTCCCAGTCAGCTTTAAGATATTTGTAAGAGGTACAATGATAGATGATGAAGAAGAATGAGATAATAATTTTAGAGAAATCAAATCATGATCAGAAGCATCTAAGGGTTAATGCGAAGAAACTGAGCACTGACTAGGATCAGAAACAAAACATAAGTCGAATAAAGAAGGTAAATGATTTGGATTGTCTGGAAAGTGAATTAGAAAGTTGACTATTTGTGTTGGAGATTAGGAAAGACAAAAGTTGTGGACCTTAATGCCAGCAGAGTCACTGATACTTGAGCCAAACCATTCAGGGATGGTATTAAAGTCACCAACAACAATGATATTGGCTGAAGGATAGAGAGAAAGGGCCTGGCCAATTTTATCAGAATAACATTGAAGGAGAGCGATATAGAACAAAAAGAAAGGTGATAGAGTGAAGTGGTACTAAACAAAAACACATAAAAGTATAGTCTGTGGCTACAAACCTAGTTTCCCGACAAATGGGTGAATTCTTACGAATGTAAATGCCCAGGCCAACTATGTAACTATTGGAGTCTTTATGAATAAAAGGAAGATAACCATCAACACTAAGATCATAAGATGAAAAAGCTGAACCCAAAGGGCTCCAAATGCGGCCTCAACAATGCACACCAAAAGTACAAACAGGAACACCATCCATGTGCAACATGGCACTGTTAGTAATCTGATATTTTACAGCTGTTGATGGAATCAGCCTAACTGAGAGCTACCACAGAGTTTGGGAAACTCGGCCTCAGAACCATAAAACCAAGTTTTAGAGCTGTACCTTCATTAGGGGATAATAGAATAAGTTATCATTAGGAGATAATTGAAGTCATGAGACAGAAGCGAAACCTATATGAGTCAAGAAGATCCAGCATTCAACATCCTAAACTGGAAACAATGAATTATAAATACATCTATGCCAGCCTAATAGATGAAAAAAGGGTACGAGGCTGGTCAACAGATAGAATCTGTTTACCCCTTAAGTCTAATAATTAGCATGAATTAGTATCAAAACAGAGATGACTTTCTTTTTTTTTCTGTTTTTTCACTCTTCTTTCTTTATGGAACAAAGACATCTAATTTATTATCAGAACCCTGAGAGAAGTCTGATGCAGTTAAAACTAGATCTTTGACTGTTGATCACAATGTCCTTTTTCTCTTCTTTTTAGGTATTTTGTTTCTCTTTCTTCATTTACTTTTTTCTTAAATGGTCTTAAGGCAAAGTCAAGAGTCAGGATTAAGAAACATGTGGTTATCCAAAGTGTCAAAGAATAAAAATTTGAAAGATCTAAAAAACTTCTGTGCCTCTTGATAAAGAAACCAATAACGATCCTCTTCTCAGATGAGAAGTTGTTTACTGTTGATTCTGTGTCAAACAGCAATTATCAACTAGTCCAAGCAATCCCAGAGCATGTAAAGTATACATTCAAGACCAAATATCTGGCTTCAATTATGTTTGCCTAGTTTCTTCTGATGGTCTCATAACAATTCCGTTTTTTATTAAATCTGATTAGAAAGTCAACATAAATGAGTAGAATCAAATCCTGGAAAACCATATCAAGTCCTGGATTGATACCCATTACTCTCTAGACATTTATGTGGTGTTCCAGCAAGATAGAGCACTACCACATACCCCCCATAAAACCCAGATGTGGCTGCAGGAGAACCTGCCAAAATATTAGTCCAAAGACTTATGACCACCTGCATCTCCAGATTTGTCACCTCTTAACAATTAAATCTGAACAAATTTAGAGCCAAAGGCTTGTCAACGTCCCCACAACAATGTCTACTTTCTGAAGGCTGCCATCAAGTAGGAGTGAAACAAGATGCCCAAGGACTATATCTAGACCACCTGTTTCAGGTTCCAGAGTTAGGTTGAAGTTGTGATTGATGCTGAAGTAAGACATATTAAATAATAATGCGGTTAACATCTTTTTGAACATTTAATAGTAAATTTTTTTAAGATTCAAGTTTTCATTCTACAATTAACTGGTCAAAAAATAA